TTCCAAAGTAATTTGCATAGCAGAGCTGGCAAATATTATTCATCTCACCAAGTGAATGTGTATATGGATGTGTATCTGTTAGACCAGGCCTATCTTTCTCTACTCTCCTTATACGCATAAGATGCCTTATTGTCTCCTCCTTCCGTTTTCAATATTTCTTTTTTGAACTCCAGGCATTTTCCGTTCTTCCAACAAAACTGATTAACTGTTTAACTTGGTCTTAACCTAATGAATATTAAAACATCAATATTTACTCCCAAAAAAGCTAATGACTTTTAAACAGCTGTTTTTTGTTTTTAAATTTGTTCTGTGTATTTCTTATGGGGTAACCCCGACCTTTGAGAGGGTCTCGCGCCCTTAAGAGTAGACATCTTAAAGTTCTAAAATCTTATTAAAAAACTACATATTGAGACGAATCTTTTGACACCTTAAACGTTGAAATTGGTCAACAAATAAGGGCGGAGTTGCGTTAACAAAATACGGCTTCACGTATTATATATATAGATACTACTTCATACTCATTCAAATTGTTTGTACAGCTGTAACATTTTACTATTTTACTATGTATCGCAACAGGGTCTACTTGGTCTAACATACGGTCAATTAACAATCTGGTTTGATCGTTTAAAATACTAACCCTGCATCCAAAAGTGTAACAATAAATGTCAGAAGTTAAATGAAGTTGATTAACTACGTGTTACACGGAACATTCTAACGGGACACCGTGAAAAGCGACGGTGAAAATTCAATTTGTTAGAGAAACAAAACGTGTTATGATGCATGATGCACGATAATTATTTCTGTTAAAACAATACTTCAACTAAATAACATGAATAGTTTTTATTAACGTCGATTTATCGAATTTTAATTGTATAAAACCAAAACTTAATGCACAGGTTTTAATTGCTTTTAATTTTAACTATGTTCAATAAATACAATAAAATAACTAACTTGCAAATTTACTTCAATAAACTACAATCACGTAAACCAATTTATTCGTTAAAATATATAAACGTGTGGTTAGATAAAGTACTAATTTAAGCTAAGCGATTTTTTTATCAACACAAAAAGCATACATTTTACTTTTAAAAACTAATTCTTTAACTTACCGTACATTGAAACTCAGGAATAGTAAGTGCTCTAAAGCAAAATATTGAATAATGTATAGTAAATATTTTGCTTTAAATTTCTTTTTAAAATTGTCCCCGGTGATAACAAAAATGTCCGCTGTTTTGTGATCGGTCATTATTGGGAAATAAGATAAACAACTATTGAAATGATATGAAGTAAATTTAGGTGTTCGTTTCAGGCCATCTAAGTTTGCTTCATTAAAATGCAAATTTGTTTTTAGCTGATCCGGGAACCTTATGGCTCTTAGATAGTTAGGTTTTGTAGCAACAACTAATTTATTTTAGAAAAAAGTAAAAATAACATACTGACTCACTTAACCGGTTGTGATTTGATTTTAGATATGACAAACTTGTTTGTCACAAAAAACCATGAAAAATAACTGTAAAAAGCTAAATATCAAAGCTCCATTGTTCAAATTAGTATTTGAACTGTATTTAATGAATAAATGAACAAAGTAACTCAATATGAACGACCCTAAGGCAACGTGTTTAACGAAATAATAAGAAGAAAAACACTACTACATTATGAACTCCATCATATATATCCAGAACAAAATTGGACTTAGGTAAACTTAAAACATACTAAACTACAGTATATTTCCTGAAAGTCTTATCTTCTAGTATAAATCAAGTCTTTTTCTGGTTTATAGCCAAGATATCTCTCTTTTAATGCCCTTTCAAATGTATTTATTACACGGTTTATATTGCTAATCTTTGGTTGTTGTCAATATTTTGAATTAATGTGTTTAAAAATGTTGGACTAATACTCAGTGATTCAACAATTAATAATTATAAACTGAAATATATTTTGCCATAAAATGGAGGTAGATTTATCTGCATTGAAACACTTAGCCAGAGTTTGTTATCGTCTCCGTAAACAAATATTTACTTCATATTTCGTCCATAAGCTTATAGTTACTGTACTAACTTTTAAGATGCTTAGATTTTGACATCAAAATATGCCGTGTTCTTCTTTTACAGTTCGGCGATGTTTTAGATCCCCTACTCGTTATAACTGAGAAGGTTATATAAATTTAACAAAATACTAAGAATATGTAGTGAAGTTCTACGGATTCGAATAGTGATTGGTTCTTAAATTGTGGACCAAATAGAAAAAGATGATGCAAATAAAGAACCATCAGATGCACAAATAATGACTTTTACTACTCCAGCAGCCTAAATTAACAAAAAAAGCGTGAAACATCTAATTTCCTGTCGGTTACTGACGGAGCCCGTCGGCCCAATAGGTTATTGCCTTGAAAGGTGCTGAAGACGTCGGACCCAGTCGGAGACCGAACGGAACGGATCGGATCGGAGAGCGTCGGACTAGTGGGTTTCCTGATTTACAATAGTTATTAGTGTTGCAAAGTAAAAAAAAATCTGTAAAGTGAATCTTCTCCATTCTAAGAACTGAACTAAAAAGGCTACTTTAAAAAATGGTCGTAGGTAAAATTAAATTTCAAGATGATAAATAGGCCCACATTTAACTTCAAAAATTATATTGAATGTAATTTGTTCCGTTTGGTTTATGCTATCAATGAAATATTATTATCGAATGCCTAAAGGGTTTTACAATTATATCTTCATCATTTTAAAAATACGCAATTTTACATGTTTTAGTCACTTTTAATAAGACAAATCCTTACAAATCCAGATTTCCGTCAGATTTACTTGTCAAGTTTTTCCTGATTTATCTTCTACTTTAATTTGATAGCTTAAAATATTCTATAACATTGTATCAGTCTAAATCTTTTAATTTATTTCCATGATTAGTGATAGATATTTTACCTTAATAGAAAATTTTCGACCATGAACATTTAACCTTTAATAAAACGCTAATGGGAAATCTTTATTTAAACTAGTTTCAACATTCTAGTCTACAAGGTGTTAAAGGTGTGTACGTGTACATGACAACATGGTACAGATTTTTAATCACCCAGCTAGGGGTAGTGAATTCTACTTATTAGGTGTTTTGTGACTGAATAGTGGCCGAAACTCCTACTTCTTGAACTTAATTGAAATGAAATATTTTAGGGTGACACATTTGCATTTCACCGTGTCCCCTACTGTTAGCAGACTCGAACGAACTATTTTGTTTATACTCTTTTGTCCTAGGATGCTAGGCACGAGCCCAGGATTGTTTTTCACATTACTTCAGGCTAGACCTAGGGGTTGCGGCATTATCACTTAGATAATATCCATTGGTGATTTGACGGGATTCGAACCCGGGACCTCGAGGACCGAAGTCCCGCGCTCTATTAACTAGACCAGCTCGCTCTCCCATATTTATATGTTCTGAAAATATTTTTTATCTTATCTCCTGCAAGGAAGAACAAGTCTGTAAATCATATTTAGTTTCATAATGTACAAAAGAAGCTGTATTTAAGACAACAAATTCTAAAGATAGTTCACATCAATAATGTGATAATATTTAGTTATTTACTCGTTGCTTACGTACTAATGTTTAGAGGAAAGTAAAATATCTCACAATTTCGGCCTGATTCTAAGGAAAGGGTTGAGAAGAAAAACATTCTTTGGATGTTTCAGTAGCAAAATATTGTTTTAGGAGGGGACTCTTGTTTTTATAGGTCAGTTGGGTCATATTATTGTAGCAATGTAGAATGTTTCATAACAAGAGTAGAAAGTGAGTCATTACATATTTGAGACCATGTTTGAAGTGCGAGATTTGTCGAGCATTTTATCGAGTGGTCGAGAATATGTATAGACCCACTTTCATTCGTGATTTGAACGTTTTCATAGATAAAACATACTCCTTGGTCTATGACGTTACTTTTCGCTACACTACAAATAATCATTATTTTCATCATTACAAAACTCATAGAATTTTTTAGGTTATTCTTTAAATTTAAAGTTAACGTTTAATGTATTTGTTGAAAAATAAAACAGTCGATAAAACAATAACAATATTTTTTTATAACAGTTATTGTTATTTTTTAAATAATTGTTACATTATTTTTCTCGGCAAAATCCAAAAAAGGTAGTAAACATTACTTTTGTATAGTAAACATTCTTTTGCCGTAGTAAATAATGTAATGATAGATTTTCGCAGACGATAAACAGGCAAGGAAACATGTCATTTCACAGTAGTGTAGTGAAAAAGTATTTTATACTCATATCAGTATATATTTTCTAGTAAGTTGAGGTCCACATAAAAAGCTTAAAAGGATGTTGCTGGCAAAGAGCTTATTAAACAATCTTAGTCGTATCAATTTTAAGACTGGTCACGATAAAACAATGCGATTCAAGTCAAATTGTCTTACAAATGAAGTTTAAAATTCTGGATCCACTTTGATCAGGTTTTTAATGCCAACCAAACATGGTGAGTCGGTTTACGCCTCTTCCACACGATGCGGCGCCCGCTGGATCCGGCGTAGGGCCGGTAGGGCTTTGTGCGTAAACATTTCTCTCATGTGCAGCAAAGTGCCGCTTCGCCTACTTATAGTTACACAAATAACTATTGCCTCGTAGCAGCAAATCGAAGCTATCATTAAATCTAATGTTATTTAAATGACAAAAAATATGTCTTGTTTGGAAATATTTTAGTCAAAACCCAATCATACAAATTGAAATTTGCTTAGTCTGCAAGTTTGCTGTGGCATGGGTAGTTTACTGATATTTCAAACGTGGTGAATTTATTTTTCTGTCCAAAAATTTCGCTGGGCGAATAGCGAGCTCAGCTTATAAGGAAAAAATGTAATATTTAATTTATGCTGATATTTAGCATACAAATTTCCAAAGTTCTAATGTTAAAAATTCTATTTGTAAATTATTTTAGCCTAGTTGGTGCTTTGGCGATTGTGAAACTCATTAACATCACTACTTTACGTAACACACCATATGTATAGGTGGGGAATGTACGTGAATTGCTCAAATTATTTTAATTATCTGAATGTTCACAGTTCTGTACTTACTTTAAATTGAACTCTGTCACTATTCTAATTCTTTTCTGCAATGGCTCTCCTAAATGTAATCGTATTGGTAAGTATGTTTAAATTCTCTACTTGAAGTAGATTCGTAAGGACAGCGGATTAATTTTAGAAGTTGCAATGGTTTTAATTTAAACATTTACCATGACGTTTTAAATATTTTGCATTGTCATGTAGATATCAGTGATCTATTATTATGTATTTTTTTACATTTTATGACAAATAAAGGAATCTGAAGTCACTGTTTTGTATGCCATTTAATTGTTTCTATTTTGAACTTGCTTAGTCCTTACCTTATGTTAGACGAGATGAATTTTACACCGACTAAAAATTTTACATATTGAATTTAATTAGAGCATTTATTTTTTCACAAGTGTACATTTCTGTTACGATGTATACAACAGTCTTACGAATATGTAAACAAAGGTTTGTTTATTTTCAGTTATGCGTCTTCAATGGCATATTGGAAGTAAGGAGTAAGGAGTCCTGGGAAGGTAAATTGAAATAGGCTAGTTTTCATGTTGTTTGATTTTTACAAATTAATTTAAGTACAGACCGTCAGTATACATGGTGTCTAAGAACGTTGTTTCCATATACTTAATTATTCGAACTCCAAGAAAGGTTATTTGTTTAGCGGAGCGAGTGAAGCGAGCGAAGTTTTTTTACTACACCCCTGTTTTTGATTTGCAAATACTCCTCCTATACGGCGGAAGTGATTCGCATGAAATTAGCTTCTTTATTTATATATTTATTACTTTAGAACCTGAGCCTGAGGACTTATCATATCGGGCTGAAAGAACATCAATGTCCTTTGACGTCATACCCCTAATCGTTACTTGCTGCATTTTAACAGATTCCCATAGCTTAGCTTTTTCTAATGCTTCATTCAACAACAGGTTGCTATTTATCTGTAATGATTCTGAAAGTTTGCTGTTATGTACCCCAACCACGATGCCGTCACGTAGCATCTCGTCTTTAAGTGCCCCAAAGTTACAATTTTTGACCAATCTATGAAGAGGTGTTAAGTATAATTCGAAAGATTCCCCTTCAAGCTGGTTTCTCTTATTAAACCGTGCTCTTTCATAAACAATGTTGACAGCTTTGTTAAAGTAGTTATTAAAATTGCGCACAACTTCTTCATAAAAGGCGTTAGACAGCGCAAATGAATCTAAAATATACTCAGCATCATCACCCATGGCAAGTAATAAAGAACTGATCTGAGTTTCCTGAGGTTCATGGTTTAAAAGTGAAGTGACCTTATACCGTTCGAATTTCCTTATCCAGGATGTCCAATCAGATTCCCGGGTTTCAAAAAAAACTATCAAAAGTTGGTGGTACGTAAATGTACCTGCCATGAGGAACCATGTCAGATTTGTGAGTCACTGAAGTAGAACTTTGCTGGTTACCTGAATTTTCATCTTCTTCAGTTTCTGCATCAGCTTGATACCTTTGTGACTTTCTGATCTTCCTGTTCGGCATGGTTAGTTCCTGTCTGACACCATGAGTTATTCTCGAGATCAATACAATGATAATTAGTTACGTATTTATTGTGGCGATCTATTACAACATTAAACTACAACTAGCTGTTACCCACGGGCTCCACCCCATTTTACTACCTAAGTATTAGGCCTAATAAAACTATTGATTGGTTAAGTTAAGCTGAAATAAACAAAACAGAACACAGTAATGATAATACAAACAAATTATAACAGCTGAGGTATTTTTAACATTAGGTAAATGGAAAGTTCCCTTTGGACAGCAATTTCGACCTTATAGGGCAATTTATGAAATAATGGACAATTTTGCGCAAGGTTTCTCGTCATGACGAACATTTTAAGTATATGGTTTATGGGGGTGTGACTTGTAGTTTTCTCAAAAGTTCATGGGTACTTTTGGCTTTTTATAGAGACTAGTGTACATGTTGCTCGAAATCGAGCAATTGCAAAGAAGTACATGAGTTATTTATAAACAAATTACTTGTTTAAAAACTAAGAATAGTCATAATTTCCAATGATTTTAAAAGAGCCAACTAAAAGATTATTAATCAATGGAAATACTCACAATTTACATAACAGTCCTATTCCAGTTTAAAGGGTAAATTTTTAACAATCAAACTGCCCATGGACGGGAATTGCTTACAATTTAAGTCAACGTAAAAAAGCTGTCAGCTTTTATAAAGTACCAATTAAGTAAAAATTTAACTAATAACTTATATCATTAAACAGAAACCAACATCCAAAACTGTACACATTTTTAATACAACGTAGATAATTTACACATTGACTGTTTACAATTAACGTATGTTTTTCTTCTCACTATTAATTTTTCCTTAGCAATGGGAAAAATCTGTTTCATAATCATTGAAATAGATTTATAATAAATAATCTATCATAAAGTTTATGTTTAAATAAACCTACCACATAGTTGTTTTAATTTTTTTTATCAGCTGTCTAAAATTGTGAAATAGGCATTTGACAGTTCTGGTTGTTTACATTTAAATGTCAAAGCAAATGTAAACATTGTGAATTTTCTCACGCTTCCATGGAGACCAATTATTAATATTTAATTTCTTACAACAGCTGGAGTTTCAAAACAATATTTATTTCCCATGTTAATCTTATGGAGAAATACGAAACTTTAAAGGGCCCCAGGGCCTCACTCTTTAATTATTTCCCTAAAAAGAAAGTTTCCTGCACAACTTCACGTTACGCTCTTTCCAATGACGCCAAAAACATGTCAATCGGTACAGTAGTTTCGGAGGAGTAATTGTCACAAAAATCCTGCTTGCGTATTAAATAAGTACTAGTGATCGTCCTGTGGTCGAAACTCGACCAAAAATAATTAATGTACAGACTTCTCTATTTTCTCCCCACACTGTAAATAAAACATGTGATTGGAATTTCTTCCATTTGTTTTGATTTTCTGTTTACATTTTGTTGTTATTTCGTCACCATCATGGCAACCCATATGGCCCATGTTAATTTTTTGAAGTTTTCAAATTAATTTTTTGTGCTTATTTGTTAACCTATATTAACTTTTAAAGGCATTCTGCACATCTACAGGAAAATATCTTTCCAACAGTATGCGTGGATTTTCCCTGCGATGCACACGAGTTGAGAAAAAAGGTTTTAAAGAAACATGCTTGCCTATTAATATATAGATAGATAGATAATCTTTGTTTACAAACAAACCCCAACATCAGGTTTTATATAATCATATGATTAATAATATTATAGACAGAAGAAGAGACCAGCACACATATAACCAACTGAATTTGAAATGGTACAAAGGACTTTTCTCTACGTGAATTTAAACTTTTAGAAATTTAACACAGGCCTTAAATAAAAAAAAATAAAAATATCTTTATTAAGCGTTTCTCTGGTACACCAGATTTTCAGAACAAATTCCGTCACTATGCTAAATATCTTATCCTACTATTTGGCCATTATACACTTAGACAATAAGTACAATTTAAAAAAAAAAAAACATATCTTTAAGTTTTTCTTTAAATGTTTTGCTAGATGCAACAACCTTCAGGCCGTCGGGTAGACCATTGTACAACGAGGGACCAAAATATGAGAAGCTCTTCCTCCCACCATGACGTGTCCTGCGCTGAGAATCCTCGTTGCGAAGAAAAAGCCTCTCGCGTAAATAGTTGGGCTCACAAAGAGACAACACTCTGTGGGTCATGCAGCACGTCAACAACCTGCACATGGCTTCGACGGGAAGCGGACTAGCTACTTCTCGAAAGGGAGAGACACGATCAAATTTATTTCAAACAGAAAATGAAACGGATTGTGGAGTTTTGCTTACGTTGCAACCGATACATGTCTTCCCGAGAAATGCTATTGCCATATGCAGGGAAGCAGTAGTAAAATACTGACAGTATTATTGACAGCACGAGCTGAAGTTTTGCAGCCTCAGGCAACAAGCCTCTGAACATATACAAACCTCTTAGTCTCCCTAAGGCTCGCTAGGAAACAAAGGTGACATGATCTGAGAAATTCAGGTGACTGTCAATCACGACGCCAAGAGTCTTTGCCTTCTCAAACACTTCTAGACTCCGGCCGTCGAGACAGACAGACACTCCAGCATCTCTCAAGGTCTGCACTTGGTCCAGAGGCGTTGTATGCAAGACAGTGCACTTACCAGGGTTCAGTTTGAGCCTATTGACAAATGACCACTTGGAGATGCTCTCCAGGTCAGCGTTGAGTTTGTCAATTGCTTCTTTCGTGAAAACAGGTCCAAAAGACAAGTGCAACTGAGAATCGTCTGCATACAAATGTGCCGTAGAATTTTTTACACAGCTAGGGAAGTCAGCTCTATGTAGTGTGTAGAGAACAGGGCCTAAGCAGCTGCCTTGAGGAACACCCCGTTTTTTGACGAGGGGTTCTGATGTGTAATTTCCAAGTCTAGTAACCTGCAGTCGATCGATGAGATAAGATCAACTGCAGGTAGTGATTTCATAGCTAAATCCATATAGTGCATTTTAGCAATCAACATGTCATGATCCAAAATACACAGAATACAGAATTGGAAATTGAGTTGAATGCCTTAAAGTAGTCAAGCTTACCAGTGAACTGTATCTACCTTTATCTCTAGCATCAATCATATCAATAAAGAGATTTGTCAATGCAGTACAGGTGCCAAATTTGTTTCTGAAGCCTGACTGTATTAGGTAATATATGATTTTCATTAATAAAATCAGTTAGCATAGTAACTATCCTCTCCAAGATTTTTGATATTGCTGGGACTAGTGACCTTATAGGTTTATTGGTCACTATGACATTATTTGCAAGATAGCAATGAACAGGAAAAGAAAAGAGTTGTAACATATGTTTGTCAACGGATCATCTAAACTAGCACTTTACAAATGCAGAACTAAAGAATCGCTATTGTTGCTATTGTTGAGCATATTTTACTACAAAATGAATAACTAATTAGGGCGGATACTGCAAATAGGCATTCTATTTATTTGACCCAGGCGTATTATTGACTTTGAAAACTGCAAATAGGCATCTCATTTATGTGATCCAATAGACCATTGACTTTGGATACTGCTAAAAGCATATCGTTTATGGTAACCAAATAGACGATTGACTTTGGACATTGCAAAAATGCATTCTATTTATGTGATCCAAATATACCATTGACATTGGATACTGCAAGTAGACACTAAATTTATAAGAACCAGATGAACCATTGACTTTGGATACTGTAAGTGGACAATCCATGAATGTGGGTGAACCAAAATTTGGTTCACTCAATATACCTTTGACCTTGGACGCTGCAAGTAGATTTCTCATTTATGTAAACCAGATATACCATTCACTTTAGACACTGCAAATAAAGGTCTTATTTACGAGAAACAGATTGAGCACTGACTTATGCTACTGCAATTAGACATCCCATTTATGTGAAGCAGATGTCGGCTACTGTAAGGAGACATGTCATTTACCTGAGCTAGATTTATCATTGACTTATGATACTGCAATTATACACCCCATTTATGTTAACCAGATGAAGAATTCACTTTGGAAAGGTATTGGATTATTATGCAAGCTCCGCTCAATATTGCAACCAGACAACTGCATTGTAGGCCCAGTAAATAAATAAATAAATAAATATATATATATACTAGCTGACCCGGCGAACTTCGTATCGCCTAAGTTATAGGTTTCCCCTAAGACAGACCGATGGAAAGAAAGTACCGTTACGTTTAATTTTCAAGATGATCTCGTTCGCATCGCTCAATCACGTCCTGGTTGAAGTTCGTTCGCTACGCTCACTCACCTTTGGGTTGGAGCTCGTTCGCTACGCTCACTCACCTTTAGGTTGGAGCTCGTTCGCTGCGCTCACTTGCCTTCAGGTTAGCTCGTTCGCTACGCTAACTCGCCTCCAGGTTGAAGTTCGTTCGCTACGCTCACTCACCTTTTGGTTGCAAATTAGCTGTTGTCATAAATGTAAAAGAAATAATAGTTCTGCACCCTGTTGGTAATCCTTGTAACTTTAATGCTATTGAACATCATAGAACAGAACCAACTTGTTTAATTGAAACAGCTGTTAAGATTCATTAATTCCATTTCTCTTAAGGTTAACATGGGAAACTCCAGAGCCACTGGGGCGGAGCCCTTTTAAGAATTTCGAAACGGGAAATAGTTTACGTCCGATTCGCATACCTACAGAATTTACACACCAAATTTCATAACGATCGGTGAAGTCGTTCCGGAGGAGTTTGCAGACAAACACTGTGACACGAGAATTTTATATATTAGATATATATATAACCTCACCTCAACTATATACTGTATAACGGGTTTTAGATCCAACCTCGTATTAGATTAAGAACTGACTAATTATGCAGAAGGTAGAGCGTAGTAAATTTAATTTTTGAAATTCATATTTTAGCCCTTTATATTTTAGGAGAATATGACTGCCGGTTTTTATAGTTTTCAATTGGAGGTTTGTATTCATTTCTGGAGGCATTCATGAAGTGGACACGTGAGGAAGCTAATTTAATACCAACTAAGTTTAAATTACAACCCCACAATCCCTTACTCAATTACTGTTTAGTGACTTTTGTTTGCGTTACACTGTTCCAAAAATAAGAACTAGTTTTTTGATAAATAAAGTTTTTTGAGTTATTAATTATAAATTATGTATACGCACTCTGCACAACATAGAAAAAGACGTATCTCAGAAGAGGAACAGGGGCAAATGTACATAACTATCAACCAATAAAATACTAATAGTCAATGAAACAACATACAACATAACAACATTTCAATCAAAGCGCATTAATGCATTTCCTAGGATTTAAACTGTTAGCTCAGAAATAGTCTTATAATGATTTTTTCTTTACAGAAGTCTTCGATTTTGACTATCCAGACTTCTCCTTCTGTAAGTATATGTAGAAATAATAAAATTATGCATACATCAGCAGTGGTATCAGCAATCTGACACATAATTTCTCCCATAAGCTTGTGTACAAATTGTATCATGAGTAAGTGGTGGGAGTAACTATGATATTTTATAGGGAGAATCACAAATTTTACAGCAATGGGGGTTTGCACTTTTTTGTTTAGAATTATAAGGACCATAACATACCGGTTTTAATCTAAACCGGATTTTTCTCGAAAATCCGATTTTTCGTTATTTTATGTGTTTTTATGGGAAAAGTTACAAGAACCGTAATTTTTACGGAAAAGAGCGTTTTACAATTTTGTTCTAATCTTTGACATGATTAGTGTGCCATACTAAAGTAAGCTTTGCAACCAGATTAACGCTTAAGCTTTTAGTGACAAGGAAACAGTTAGATGTTGGAGAGAACAAAATGCGTTAGGTTTTTCATAATTTCTTGTCAAAAAGGAGTATGTAGGGATTGTTCGATTCCAAAAGTTGATCCTCGATTCCACTGATTCACGGTTTCGGAATCGGAATTGAGAATCGACTGCTCAAAGTCGGTTCTGATGCCATGTTTGCGAAGATCGCGCGATCAGAAAATTGCCGCTATTGCCGAGATCGCGCAATACGATGACGATGATCCGTTACCACGGGAGACAATGACGATGTATACACGATCGCGGGAAATTTTGCCGCGATCGTGGAAGACGGTGATGGTACTCCGTACCGTGTTGGTTATTCAGTTTTTTGCCGACACGGTGGGAGACAATGACAATGTCTAAACGACCTCGGGAAATTTTCCCGCGATCGTGGAAGACGATGATGGTGTTCCGTTACCGTATTGGTTATTCAGTTTTTTGCCGACACGGCGGGAGACAATGACAATGTCTAAACGACCTCGGGAAATTTTCCCGCGATCGTGGAAGACGGTGATGGCGTTCCGTTACCGTATTGGTTATTCAGTTTTTTGCCGACACGGCGGGAGACAATGACAATGTCTAAACGACCTCGGGAAATTTTCCCGCGATCGTGGAAGACGATGATGGTGTTCCGTTACCGTATTGGTTATTCAGTTTTTTGCCGACACGGCGGGAGACAATGACAATGTCTAAACGACCTCCGGAAATTTTGCCGCAATCGTGGAAGACGATGATGGTGTTCCGTTACCGTATTGGTTATTCAGTTTTTAGCCGACACGGCGGGAGACAATGACAATGTCTAAACGACCTCGGGAAATTTTGCCGCAATCGTGGAAGACGATGATGGTGTTCCGTTACCGTATTGGTTATTCAGTTTTTTGCCGACACGGTGGGAGACAATGACAATGTCTAAACGACCACGGGAAATTTTCCCGCGATCGTGGAAGACGGTGATGGCGTTCCGTTACCGTATTGGTTATTCAGTTTTTTGCCGACCCGGCGGGAGACAATGACAATGTCTAAACGACCTCCAAAAATTTTGCCGCAATCGTGGAAGACGATGATGGTGTTCCGTTACCGTATTGGTTATTCAGTTTTTTGCCGACACGGCGGGGGACAATGACAATGTCTAAACGACCACGGGAAATTTTCCCGCGATCGTGGAAGACGATGATGGTGTTCCGTTACCGTATTGGTTATTCAGTTTTTTGCCGACCCGGCGGGAGACAATGACAATGTCTAAACGACCTCCAAAAATTTTGCCGCAATCGTGGAAGACGATGATGGTGTTCCGTTACCGTATTGGTTATTCAGTTTTTTGCCGACACGGCGGGAGACAATGACAATGTCTAAACGACCTCCAAAAATTTTGCCGCAATCGTGGAAGACGATGATGGTGTTCCGTTACCGTATTGGTTATTCAGTTTTTTGCCGACACGGCGGGGGACAATGACAATGTCTAAACGACCTCGGGAAATTTTGCCGCAATCGTGGAAGACGATGATGGTGTTCCGTTACCGTATTGGTTATTCAGTTTTTTGCCGACACGGCGGGAGACAATGACAATGTCTAAACGACCTCGGGAAATTTTGCCGCGATCGTGGAAGACGATGATGGTGTTCCGTTACCGTATTGGATATTCAGTTTTTTGCCGACACGGCGGGAGACAATGACAATGTCTAAACGACCTCCGGAAATTTTGCCGCGATCGTGGAAGACGATGATGGTGTTCCGTTACCGTATTGGTTATTCAGTTTTTTGCCGACACGGCGGGAGACAATGACAATGTCTAAACGACCTCCGGAAATTTTGACGCGATCGTGGAAGACGATGACGGTGTTCCGTTACCGTATTGGTTTTTCAGTTTTTTGCCGACACGGCGGGAGACAATGACAATGTCTAAACGACCTCGGGAAATTTTGCCGCAATCGTGGAAGACGATGATGGTGTTCCGTTACCGTATTGGTTATTCAGTTTTTTGCCGACACGGCGGGAGACAATGACAATGTCTAAATGACCTCGGGAAATTTTGCCGCGATCGTGGAAGACGATGATGGTGTTCCGTTACCGTATTGGTTATTCAGTTTTTTGCCGACACGGTGGGAGACAATGACAATGTCTAAACGACCTCGGGAAATTTTGCCGCGATCGTGGAAGACGATGATGGTGTTCCGTTACCGTATTGGTTATTCAGTTTTTTGCCGACACGGCGGGAGACAATGACAATGTCTAAACGACCTCGGGAAATTTTCCCGCGATCGTGGAAGACGATGATGGTGTTCCGTTACCGTATTGGTTTTTCAGTTTTTTGCCGACACGGCGGGAGACAATGACAATGTCTAAACGACCTCGGGAAATTTTGCCGCGATCGTGGAAGACGGTGATGGTGTCCCGTTACCGTATTGGTTATTCAGTTTTTTGCCGACACGGCGGGAGACAATGACAATGTCTAAACGACCTCGGGAAATTTTCCCGCGATCGTGGAAGACGATGATGGTATTCCGTTACCGTATTGGTTATTCAGTTTTTTGCCGACACGGCGGGAGACAATGACAATGTCTAAACGACCTCGGGAAATTTTGCCGCAATCGTGGAGGACGGTGATGGTGTTCCGTTACCATGTTGGTTATTCAGGTTTTTGACGTGACCGCGGGAGACATTGACGATGTCTTACTTACTTACTTACTTACTTACTTACTTACTTACTTACTTACTTGAATACTTGAATACTTGAATTCTTCCTCTTTGACAGGACTAGTCTGATAGATTGCGTTATATTCAGTTAATAATAAATAATATAAAAATAAAAACTATGTACATTATTACAGTAATTACTGAGTCACTAAACTTTAACATTGGTCGTTTACTAATTGGCAAGGCGGACAGAACACTCATCTCACTAGGGGCTCATCCTCAAGCTCCTTTAAGGAGTACAGCGGCCTTTTAATCAATATATCTTTTAGTAACTTCTTAACAGAGGGCGCATCCATCTCTCGCACTCGAGTAGGCAGCGTATTGTAGATTTTTATTGCTGAGCGTGGATATCTACGCGAGGTATGGCTGAGACGACAGCGGGGAAAATCTATGTTTTGGGCCCTCCTGGAGTGGTGCGCATGTACCTCCTCTCTCATAAGGCGAGCCTTTAAGTTACACTTAAATAGGGTCAGAATGTCCATAACATACTGGCCTAGACTGTAAGTTAGGCTGTATGTTACTGTAAGACTCCTAGGTCCCTGAAGATAGGTCGGCAGTGATCTAAGTAGCCAGCAGTGATAATTTAATAAAATTTTATGTAAAAAAAACAAGGTATTTTCTATAGAAGTCAAGATGGATAGTGCATAAAACAATTGGTAGACATGGACTATTTTAAAGTGTATATTGACATTTAATTTTAATTTTCTAGTTGCTACAGTGTATCATATTGCCATAAGAAGGGATACGACTACATCAAGTAAGTAATGTCATAGATACTTTACTACATCTATTTGAAATATTTAGTTTTGTTTATGAGAACAATTATGTATCAGCCTATTATAATACACTCACGATAAATATAAAGAGGGTTTACTTTATTAAAAAGTAAAAAAACATGGTAAAAATTATTTAATATTCGTACACCTTTCCAAAATTTAATTTAAATAAACATGCTATTAACAGTGAGTTTGTTAAAATAGTTTTTTTCTATTTTAGTATAGACGTGTTATAACCTACGCCATCAACATTTGTCATAGGATAAATTTAAGTTTCAAAGAATAGCTGTCAAAACATAGGATTAAAAAATGTCAATTAAGTTCAAACGTGACACAAGTTCAAGTTATATACACTATGTTTGTTTTGAAACTTAACTCAAACTAGTGTACATGTTGCTCGAAATCGAGCAATTTCAAATAAGTACATGAGTTGAGGAGTTACAAATAAACAAATGACTTGTTTGAAAACGAATAACAGTCATAATATCCGATGATTTTAAAAGAGTCAACTAAAAGATTATTAACTGATACAAATACTCACAATTTACATAACAGTCCTATTCCAGTTTAAAGGGTTAATGTTTAACTATCAAACTGTCCATGGACGGGAAACGGTAAGCTTACAATTTAAGTCAAAGTAAAAAGGCTGTCAGCTTTTATAATGTACCGTACCTAAGTTATTTAGCCAATTTGTAGGTGTAGGGTGTAGGCTACTTTAAACTCTACAGAACAGAGTTAGGCAAAAACTGGCAGAACTCTGAAATGGAGTTATTTATCATAGGCATACTCATATGCCAAATCCTTAAAATAAATATTCAATAATGAATAACTTATATCATTAAACACAAACCAACATCCAAAACTATACACATTTTTAATACAACATAGCGAGGGCCTAAGTCTAATACCACGTATCTTCCAAATATAGGGTTTTGAGATTTATAGTAAAAGAAATAGATTTCATTGTCTCTCACCTAATTCTAAAACCTCGTAAGTCTATAAAAATGGGAAATAATTTAAAAAAATGGGAAATGTAGACCTCGTATCTTGCAGTATTGGTAAAACTTCCTTCTAGCAACACGTATCTTGTATTGTTTACAGTGTGCAAAAGGTGGTCAGCTGTGCCGGTCTGTTATTGTTATGCAGTTTCATAGTGAAAAAGTGAATTTCAGTGTTCAAAATGTAGTAAATATAAGATAGAATTAACTCAGTTTTGTATATATGCAATTAGTTTATTTGTGGCTTTATTACAATTTATGTAATACGTTGTCATAAATCAGTGTTAAGATACGAGGTCTTAGAAGGAGGAATATTCTTACTGTAAAAATAGTTATAACTTTTTATACAAATTATTGTATTAACTTTTTTGCTAAGGAATAGTTTTATACTCTAATTTTTTCTGTAATACAATAAAATAGTAATTATAACAATAAAGTTGTTATAATAAAAATGCTTAGTGTTTATTTAGCAATACCTCGTAACTTACAAATTGGTAAATTCTAATAACTCGTATACCCAATATCAATACCACGTAAGTTAACCCTCCAACTGGCACATTTAAAAAAAGTTGACTACAATACCTCGTATATTACTTTTTTTATAATAACTCTTGTAAATAATAAATAAACATAAGAAGTGGTTTGTTTTATCAAATTTAATAACTACATGTACACTCCTATGAAGTAATGAGCTGTTTTTCGTAAAACCATAATAATTACAACGTTTTTTTGCTTTCCTGTAAAGTAGGCATTTTCCTCATACGTGGTATTAGACTTAGGCCCTCGATAGATAATTTACACATTGACTGTTTACAATTAACAACATATGTTCTTCTTCAGGCATTTGACAGTTCTGGTTGTTTACATTTAAATGTCAATGCAAATGTAATATTTAATTTCTGACAACAGCTGGAGTTTCAAAACAATGTTTGTTTCCCATGTTAATCTTATGGAAAATACGAAACTTTAAAGGGCCCCAGGGCCTCACTCTCTAATTATTTATGTACCTAAATAGAAAGTTTCCTGCACAACTTCACGTTACGCTCTTTCCAATGACACCAAAAACATGTCAATCGGTTCAGTAGTTTCGGAGGAGTAATTGTCACAAAAATCCTGCTTGCGTATTAAATAAGTATAGATTACAAGTACCAAGACACTGTTTAACAACAAACCAAGCTCACATTTTGCTATCCTTGTATTCGTTATTTCATTGCCAATCATCTGATAGGCATTGTTGCATAGTTATCTATGAGTTTTAGTGTTATTAGCGAATTTCCCTTTAGGGAAGTAGCTATTACCGTAGGTGGCACGGTAAGACCTAGACCCGGGACCGATTTACTTTTTCATTTTGATGTCCCCAGAGGCCAAAAACACCATTCGTTCAAATTTTTATATATGTATATATATATATATATATATATATATATATAGACTTATATATATATACGTCCGTGAACGCGATAACTTGAGTATTTTTTGTCCGATTTTGATGAAATATGGTTTAAAGGTGTAAAGCGGGATAAACTTGAATGAGTTCGCTAACCAGCACGATCGGACCATGGGAACGGGGCTTTACGGGGAGTTTTATGGGGTAAAAATTGGTTTTTCTCACTTTTGACCCTCAAAACACAAAATTTCCCGATTTCTCTTTAGACCTTTTTAAAGAGCTTAAAAAAACAAATAATTTAGTATATAAAAGTATTTTTGTTTGATTATTAGTAACGGAGGAAACTAAAAAAATTGTAAATTTAAAATTCCCATGTTATTCTTATGGAGAATATTGTCAAATGTTGTAGTTTGCTTGTTTATGGATATATTTTGATCAAACTTGGCAAATTTGTTTATTTTGTACTAAGCTATCAATATTTTACTCAAAAACACACTTTATTAGTTTCCTTGTAGCAGCAAACCTAGGTACTCGTTAAACCTAATGTTATTAAAATATATTTAACTGAAAATCAATTCAGACAAATGGAAATTTGCTTAGTCGGCAGGTTTGCTGCGGCGGGGTTTTTGGTAATTTATTGTGGATAAGTCTCAACTTGGTGTTATCGCAAGCTCCATCTGAGGATGCGAAAAAACGTATTACGTCTCATTTACAATAAATTTTCAATATCACTAAACCTCGTAGAAAACTTGTATCAGCCGATAAGCAATGAAGTAAAGAAAACAGGGATACCAACATAATAAGCTGGGTTTGCTGTTAAAAAGTGTCTCACGGTAGTTGTGATGATTTGGGTTGCATTTTCAATTAATAAAATTTGTTTAAATTTTATACAGCTAGATTAAGCTGGGGTAAAACTAATTAATTACATAGTGTAAGTTAGTATATAAGTAGTTTGATGTTTTACCTTTTAATAATTATGTATGTATTTAAATCTCGAAAAGGCTATTCTGTCTTGACTCTTATAAATATGAAATAGATAGTCCGGGTAAGTAAATGCATTGTTGAGCTAATTTTTGATTTATTAATCTTTCAGTGAGCAAGAGAATGGAAGTTTTGTCAAACCCCATTGTTTCAAAAACGTATTCGTGTGAACTACCAAACGGACAAAAGGGCAAAGTAACTGGTGGTGAAAATTATGAACTTCAAATGATCAAAGTGTCGATGCCAGGTTACAAATTCTACCTTCAACTGGTACTAAAACTAAAGCACGAAGAAGTAAGAAAGTTTATGTTATTTTTGCAAGCAAACCTTGTTGCATACTTACTACTTACTTACTTGAATACTTGTTGTCTTAATCTTTGACCGAAGTATATCGGATAGATTGCGTCGTCACATACATTATAATATATTATTAAACACTCATGTAGGTGTTAAAGTTATTCTTAAAAATAATTGGAAATACAAAATGTTTTCATTTTTAACAGCTCATAGTATTGTAGTGTTAAATTTTCCTTTTGTAAATGGATTGGTTTCAATCTTTTGAAAATTAATAAACGCATTAGTTGTTTAAACGAAAAAGGCGGTTAGTTACTTTGTCTTTAGATTATTTAAAAATTAAGTAAATACAAAAGTGAGCTTTAGTGCTGTAATGTGATTTTTTTAAATATTACCTTATTGAACTGAAATAAGGTGTTAGAAATCCATTCGTTTATAATAATTCATGTTTACTATATAAGTTACTTTGAATTTCAGTAATCAGCTAAATTTTTTAACGCACAGCTTACTAAACACTAACAACTACACAACTAACACAACTAACTATATGTACATTTTATATTACTTTTTAAACAGTTCGATTCCTGTTTAAAAACGCACCTAGCCATTATTCTTATGTAAGTTTTATTCTTGGCAATGGCGTTAAAAATCATTTTCAGTATATGATGTCTGGTTAAAATATACTGATTCTACTTCTTATTCTCTTTACAATAAATTAATATTGCAATTGCACAAGAAATATTAGGTAAACAATAGTATACATGCGAAATGTTAAGTTTCCAATTAATTACAACTGATATATTTTCCAGAATCCAGTGATCGTCCCTTTGGTGATTTACCCGACTTTCGAATCTTATCCTTTGTCGGCCGAGAACAAACACATCATGTCAAACACCCAACTGTCAATACACAAGGATTCAACTCCTGATAAACTCAGGCTGAGCGTCAAAGGAATCTTCATATCACGCATAGTGGATGAAAAGTACACATGTACCTTCACCCATGAGATCAACGTCAGAAAACTTGACACAAGACCAACAGCCGTGGCTATTAAACACGAAATTACACAAATCTTTAAAATAATGGGGAAAGAATTTAATGACCCAAACTATAAATACGAAAACTATATAAGAGTAGAAGAACTATGTACAACACAGTTTCTTTTGGGAAACGAACAGCCTAAAGCTCAATACTGAAAATTTGTCAGATGTAAACTACTTATGGTAATGGATGTATGGTGGACATTAACTGATGGATGGGTTTTGAGTCTTTAGATGATTTTCAGATTTACTATATAGTAAAATATTGATTTGGAATGTATGTGTTATTTTTAATCCTCTTGTTAGAAAAATTATTTAACTGATATCCGGGAAATCATCTAATCGATTCAAAGAGTAATTAACAATAATGGTTTAAATACCTGATTCTGGTAATCCAATGGCTGTGTTCACAACTAGTTTCAATCTGCTACAGATCTAGGCTCAACTCCCACATTACTAACACCGGTCCGTCACATTACTAACACGGATCTAGACTCAACTCCCACATTACTAACACCGGTCCGTCACATTACTAACACGGATCTAGGCTCAACTCCCACATTACTAACACCGGTCCGTCACATTACTAACACGGATCTAGGCTCAACTCCCACATTACTAACACCGGTCCGTCACATTACTAACACGGATCTAGGCTCAACTCCCACATTACTAACACCGGTCCGTCACATTACTAACACGGATCTAGGCTCAACTCCCACATTACTAACACCGGTCCGTCACATTACTAACACGGATCTAGGCTCAACTCCCACAATACCAACACCTCGTCGAGTTTACGATTTTATTTTATCGGCCGTATGTGTGTGCGCGGTATGTATTTGTGTTCGTCTATGCGTAGTTCATATACAGAGTGTTTTTTTTAACTTGCATCTTTATTTATGTAAAAACTGCAATAGATAGAAATATGCAGTTTGCAGGAATCATCTATTGACGTAGGGGGCCCAATTTTTTGGAATTCAACAAAACATTCACATTCCCCCCCCTTTCCCCCCTGCCATCAACTTAATTTTTTTAAATAGCAATGTACCCCTTGTGACATATCAAATGAAAGAGCATGAAAAAGATAAATATTTGATGAAAAAAAAATTGAAAATCGGTTCATAAATTTGTGAGATATTCCCCCCCTCCCTCCCCTGAACTTAATCTTTTTAATAGCAAGCTATCCCTTGTGACATATCAAATGAAAGAGCATGAAAAAAGAAAATGTTTGGTGAAAAAAAATTGAAAATCGGCTGATGAATTTGTGAGATAATCCCAACCCTTTTCCCCTACCCATAACTTTTTTTTTAATAGCAAGGTACCCCTTGTGACATATCAAATGAAAAATAAATTTCACCAAACATTTTCTTTTTTCATGCTCTTTCATTTGATATGTCACAAGGGGTGCCTTGCTATAGAAAAACAATTAAATTCCGTGGAGGGGGGGGATATCTCACAAATTTATGAACCGATTTTAAATTTTTTTTTCATCACACATTTTTTTTCATACTCTTTCATTTGATATGTCACAAGGGGCACCTTGCTATTTAAAATAAGTAAGTTGATGGCAGGGGGGAAGGGGGGGAATGTAAATGTAACGTTGCATAATCGTAAAAAAACTGCATATTTCTATCTATTGCGGTTTTTACATAAATAAAGATGCAAGTTTTTTAAAAAAACACCCTGTATAAAAAACGTACAGTATATATTACAATAAAAACTGCGCTCGCTGGTTCTTGGAAAAAGACTTAAATAACCCTCCATTTCTTGAAAAAGTTATGTTTACATACGAAGCTAGTTTTACTAGGGATGAGATATTTAACAACCGAACAAGGCATTTTTGGGCATAAAAACACCCACCGATTGCAATTGTAACACACATGCTATTTTTTAAGCTAAGCATCAAGAAGAGTTTTCGATTAATGTGTGGGCAGGTATTTAACTCCTGATTGACGTATACCAGGTGATTGTAAAGGTATTTATAAAATGTAAAAGGAGGATTAGGATTTTTAAATGGAGACAAGTGGTCATGGATTACGAAAAGAACACATTTCTCTGTTATTATATCAATCCATTCTTAATAAATAAGGTATCGTTAAAAACTAAATAAAATTTACTAACCTTTTTGTCTCTTATGTTTTTTTGTAAAGTTAACGATTTCGTGAAATTTGGCATTAAATATTTTAAATGACCACCATTTTGAAACGATTGATGATTTTTTTTTGTATAATTTACGACGAGAATAGGTCTTAATTAGATAAACATTTTGCCAAATCTCAACGCTTTATCTAAAACCGTTTAGGAGTTTTTTACACATAAATACAGATAGACGAAAAACTAGGCTCCACAGACTCATGTTCCTATGGTAAAATGTGTTTGTCTTGACCTAAGCAATCATGATGGTCCTATATACATGAGTTACAGGACATCCCTGTATAATGAAGAATGAGATGACTCGAGTGGAAAATTTGAACAGTAAAAAGACAGAGGGATGAAATAAAAGTAAACTCTGGTGTATTAAATCAGAACAAAAAGTAAACATCATTGAAGAATAAACATGACATGATGCTATGGTTACAATAACTTCATATGTTCATAACATTCTCCCCACTTAATCACTGGATAGCAAAGTACTTCAGATATGATGGAACCTTACGTTATCTACAAGGACGAGTTAATTTACTTTAATTTTGTTCGCCTGGTTCTGTGGCTTAAGGTTGCCAAGGTTCTCTTCTCTTGAACTACCGTCTAGTTCTGTTGGTTGATTTTCATGTGTTTCAGCTTCTAGATGGATCTCTTGTGGTGCTTCACAGTCTCGATAAGTACCCGTCTTGGAACAACAGAACTATCTTGTTCGTTGTGTGTTGTAAATGTAACTCTCTTCTTGGATACAAGAGTCATAATCAATTGATTGATGTACCGTTTTAAACTTCTTTAAGAATCTAACTCAACAATGTAATGGTATTTTCCTATTTTTTCTTTACTGTACCAAACTATCATATGTCTATATTTCCTAAATTAACTCTTGCCTGAACCCTCTCTCCCACTCAAGAGAGCGGATGCGAAGAGGAGCAATTTATTTTGATGGACGTTTTGCCTTTGGGTTTGGGAGAAGTGTGATCTAATCAAGTCTAATCCGAATCTTCCTGTTCGAATACAACTCTTCTGGAGTCTTGTACAGTCTGCTGATGCCAAAGGTGTTGCTCGATATCTGAACATAATATGTTGTAGCTTTGTGGTAATTGAGGTTGGATCATCGGTAGCGGCAATAAGTTTTCTCTTTATAGTTTGTATACAGGGTGGCCAGAAAGTAACTTAAACCTCCCCCCCCCCTTTACATTTCAACCATTTGAGATATTTGAAATCTGTTTGCGGCAACCTTCTTCAACATGGTAAGGGTAACAAGGTAAGGGGTAGCTCAAAATTTTCAAACGATAAGTATAGTCTAGTTTGGTATCATTTTACAGATCTTGAAAAAACATAAAAATTGGCATAAAGAAAACCAAAATCGGCCCACTAATAACAAAATGGCGCCCTAAAACGTTTCAAATTCAAATAACCATGAGGGTGGCTGAAAATTAACTTGCACTCCCTTTAACTTTTAACTATTTGAGATATTTGAAATCGGTTTGCGGCAACTTGTTTGGATATGAAGGGCTATATATAAGTACAAAGCTTATTGTTATGTAAAAAAATGCAGTCATTTCATCAGAACTTTTGACGAAAGCATCCGCCTATAATAGAGCATTTCCATGTGGTTGATGACAAAAGGTATGTGGTAGTACTTGTTTATGCAATCCTATCATATCAAATAAAAATTATTATATCCCATTTATTTTTTATTGTCATGGACCATTTCAAACCCAACTGTATATAATTTTTTTTTTCAAAAGGCGATTGCTCAAAATGTTTTACTCCTTTACCTTGACAAACGAATTGACTAAAACGTTCAAGTCATCAATCACAGCACGAAAGAACATTGTTGTTTACACTCTCCAAAGTAAAATGGAAGAGACGTTAAAGCTCCTACTTACTGAGCAATGTAATACTGTATTTAGAGCTATTAGAATTACAATGATAATTGAAACGTTTGTTATTGTCAGACAGCAAATTATATACTCTTTTATTCCTTTCTTTAGTTACTTACTCAAGAAGTAATACAATTACAATTTTTTAACTGATTTTTAAGTCAATTTGATCCACTAAGTTTGTTTATGTATCAAAATATATAAATATAAATAATGTTTCAAATACAAATGTGTTTAATAATTTGAAATCCAGTGCTGATCATATCTACACATTTATTTCATCTAGTAAATTTCCATTGAAAGGAATGTGGCATGTTCAAAGGTTTAACCACACCTATATGCTTTACAAGTAGGTTTTAACATAGGTAGTTAATTAATGAATGTTTTTAAGTGGCACCTTAGTGTACCGGTATGTGTTAATGATGGAACTTGATGTTATGGTTAGTTACTAATTACCATAGTAAGTGTTGAAAGCTGTATTCAAATAAAAAAAATATATACAGTTCTAGCGGATAGACGCACTAAAACAAATCATTCTAGTAAAAGGTCATTTAATTTACAGAGAATAGTTAAGTAGTGTAATCCACTAGATTCAAATCAGAAAAACTGTTGTTACCTAGGTTGCTAGGATAACAAAAAAATAGACAAATGATTAAAGTAAATACAGAACACATGGTTATTGTGTTAGACAGTTTAGTGGCACCACATTAGCCCCCTGCGGAGACTGGAAGACAGGGCACTATAAATTTCACAGTACGACCAGATCGGGTCACGTAAGGCTTGGGTTGGCTTGAGAGTAGGGTCTTGAGTGGGAACACTGTGGAGGGTGGATTTCTGGAATGTTTATTATGGATGGGTGTATGTGTTGAAGGAGTAAGATCTTGCAATAGATACGCGGGCTTTACTCTGTCCAACGTCACCTTCACACGTTTACCACGATGGATTATAGTCATAGTTTTATCATCACGAGATACTACGGGAAACGGTCCAGTATAAGGTGGTTGTAGTGATCGTCTAACAGAGTCATCTCGCAAAAATATGTGAGTACACCGTTTTAACTCCTGAAAAACGAAGGTCTTTGGTTTATCATGCCAAGATGTGGGCACAGGTCTTAAATTTGACATGTGTCGACGTAAGCGAACTACATAGTCAGCCGGGTCCTCCTCACGAGTTGTGTCTTGAGGGAGGTCTAGAAGTTCTCCAGGTAGACGGAGTTGGTGGCCAAAAACTAATTCGGCAGTAGATGCCTGAAGGTCTTCACGATATGCGCTGCGAATGCCGAGTAGTACGATGGGAAGTGCTTCAAGCCATGTTGAATCATTGTGGCACATGAGAGCTGCCTTAAACTGCCGATGGAATCTCTCGACTAAACCATTAGCACAAGGGTGATAGCCGCAAGTTCTGATTCGCTCTACACCGAAGGTCTTTCCAAGGGCACGAAATAATGCTGACTCAAATTGGCGTCCTTGATCAGTTGTGATGCGCAAGGGTGAGCCGTAACGGGAAAACCAGCACATCACCAGAGCCTCAGCTACTTCTTCTGCGGTGATGGTTTTCAATGGATGAACTTCTGGCTATCTGGTGTAGCGGTCGATAGCTGTTAGGCAATATTTGTATGGTCCGGATGGTGGAAGTGGTCCAATGATGTCAATGTGAACATGATCAAATCTTGATGATGGGAGTGAAAACGATCCATGGGGTGTAAATACATGACGGGAGATCTTAGCACGTTGACATTTCTCACAGGCTCGGGCCCAGTTTCGACAGTCTTGTTGAATTCGGGGCCAAACAAAGCGATTAGAAACAAGTTTTGCCGAAGCTTTGATGCCAGGGTGACTTAGATTGTGTATAGAATTAAAAACTGAGCGTCTAAGGGGCTCAGGGACAAAGGGTCGTTGTACTGAAGTTGTTGTGTCACAGTATACATCAAGGTCTGTTCCAGGAATTTTGACAAGCTTCAAATTAAGAGATGTCTCTCCCTTAAGGATCTCTTGTAGCTCAGGGTCAGAGTCTTGATGATGTGCCAAAGTTTTGGCATCTACAATGCTGGGAGCCGTAGTTGACAATGAATCTACACGAGAAAATGCGTCAGCTACTAGGTTGGCCGATCCAGAAACATGTCTTATGTCTGTAGTGAATTGTGAAATGAATGTTAGTTGGTTTTGCTGAACAGGAGGTAGTTTTTCACGTTTTTGACTGAAGGCAAATGTTATTGGCTTGTGGTCTGTGAAAACTATGCAATGATTTGCCTCAAGGTAGTGACGAAAGTGACGAATGGCGGCATATACAGCGAAAAGCTCACGGTAATAGGCTGGCCAAAGGGATTGTTTTGGTGTCAGTTTCTGTGAAAAGAAAGAGAGAGGTTCCCATGTTTTATTGTCAACCATCTGCTGGAGAGCAGCTCCTACGTGGGTACTCGAGGCATCACAGAACAATGCGAGAGGGGCCTTGTGGTCAGGGTGAACAAGCAAGGTAGCATTGGAGAGATGTTCTTTGCAGGATAAGAATGCAGCATCCAATTCAGGAGTCCAATTTACAGGTTGGTTTCCACGTAGAGATGAGAGGGCATCATGGAGAGCTGCTTGTTGCTTGGCTGCTGAAGGAATGAATCTGCGGTAGAAATTCAACATGCCGAGAAAACGACGCAAACCTTTTGCAGTAGAGGGACGGGTGAATTGTCGTAGAGCCTCAACACGTTCAGGAAGTGGTCGAGTACCAGCAGATGATACCTCATATCCTAGGAAGGTAACCTTTGGAGCTTTCAAAACAGTCTTATTTACGTTAACGAGTATGCCATAATCAGAAAACCGATTGAATAGAGTTCGTAGATGGGCTTCATGTTCAGTCTCATCCTTAGAGAAAACTAAGACGTCATCTATATAAGGAAAGCAGAAGTCTAAACCAAAAACTACTTCATCGATGAAACGCTGAAAAGTTTGTCCTGCGTTGCGGAGGCCAAAGGACATGAAGGGGAATTCAAACAATCCAAAGGGGGTTGTAATGGCTGTCTTCGGGATGTATTCAGGGTTGACAGGGATTTGTGTGTAGGCCTTCACTAGGTCGATCACAGAGAAATACTTGCAACCTCTGAGAGAATGGGTGAAATCGTGGATATGTCTAACAGGATATCTGTCAGGAATAGTCCTAGCGTTGAGAGCACGGTAGTCTCCACAGGGGCGCCATCCATCAGGTTTCTTAGGAACCATGTGAAGGGGTGATGACCAAGGTCCATCAGATCGACGTGCAGTACCATCGGTGAGCATGGCATCAAACTCGGCTTTGGCTATAACAAGCCGATCAGGAGCGAGTCGACGTGGACGAGATGAAACTGGGGGACCAGGGGTCGTTTTGATGAAATGCAAGGTTGAATGGAGCACTTTTCTTGGTGTACCAGAGGGTCGGGTAATCATGGGAAATTCTGCCAGTATTGATGAAGTTGGAGAATTGGGTGTGATAGTTTTTATGCTGAAATGAGGGATTGAGGTACATTGACAAAGAACAGAAAGGTTTGTTACACTGTCAATCAACCGTTGATTACGACAGTCAGGAAGCAATCCAAAGTGTGCTAAAAAGTCAGAGCCTATAATCGCTGTATTAACATCAGCAATGACAAAATTCCATGTAAAAGCTCGTCTCAGCCCTAAGTTTAATGTTAATGTCATCATACCGTAGGTGTGAATGGCAGAGTTGTTTGCTGCACGAAGTTCATATTCTATATGCTTTTGGTTCTTACAAACGAATGATTTAGGGAGGCAGCATATGTCGGATCCAGTGTCAATCAAAAATTTTGTATTAGTTGTACGGTCGACGATTTGTAGGCGGCGCCCTCCAGCTTGGCAGTCAGCTGACGCCATCACTGGCTGCCTTTGGAGTTTGTCGGAGAAGTGAAATTGCATGGTGGAATGCACTTCTCAGCTTGATAGCCAAAACGCTTGTGGTACCTTCATAGATTGGTTTGCTCTGTAGTGTCAGAGGAGCTACCTGCGTGATAACGACTACTAGACAAACTCCTCTGACGTGACCTAGGTCGCCTGTCACGTAGGGAATCAACATCTTTACGCATATTTTTCATTTGCAACTCCAAAGCAGATAATTTTGATAAAACTTCAGTTAATTTTGGGTCATCAGAAAATGAAGATTTAGGATTTGGTGAATTAACGGCATTCAAAGATGTAGGCATACTAGTGAGAGAATGGCAAAAAGATGCGTTAGGTTGGACTGCTAGAATTTTGTCGGCAGTAATTGCAAGTGTGTCAGTTTGGGCACTTGTTTGGACTTGCAAAACACTTTGTACATGAGCAGGAAGTCTCTGCATCCAAATAGTTTTCAGTAAACTATCTTGGATTGTGGTCGAACCTACTAGTGATCGAAGGTGGCGTAGGAACTGAGAAGGAGTTTTGTCACCTAGTTCCTCCTCCATCAATAGCTGACGAATGCGTTGCTCCTCAGATAGAGACAACCGTCTGATTGTTTCAGACTTAAGAGTAGAGTAAGGAGTTTCAACAGGTGGATCTATTATAAGATCCTCCACTTCATTAGCATAGCGCTCATCAAGATGTGAAATTACATAAGAGTATTTAGTTGTTTCACTCGTGATGTGAGCCAGTGTAAACTGAGCCTCAACTTGGGCAAACCAGAGCCTTGGTTTCTCTTTCCAGAATGGTGGAAGTTTTATGCTTACCCGGTGGATGTGATGATCTTCATGTCGTTCGTCGGAATGGGCTGTATGATCTGGCTGATGCTGTGGTAGAACTGGTGGAAGATCAGGTAGGTTGGCTTCTTGAGGATGTACAGAAATGTGATTTTGTTCTTGTCTTCCATTCAAATCTTGAAGTTGTCTCTGTAGGTTGGCATTCTCACTCTCTAATTGAGCTAGGCGCTCCAAAAGTTCTTGGTCCATGGCGTAAAACGATAATTTGGGGAAAGGTTAAAAATTAAATGAAGTCTTGGTAGAAGGTTGAAATTTAATGTAGGAAAAACATCAATTTAGTTTGAAATAATTTACTTGTTAGTCGGGGTCACCATTTCTAGCGGATAGACGCACTAAAACAAATCATTCTAGTAAAAGGTCATTTGATTTACAGAGAATAGTTAAGTAGTGTAATCCACTAGATTCAAATCAGAAAAACTGTTGTTACCTAGGTTGCTAGGATAACAAAAAAATAAACAAATGATTAAAGTAAATACAGAACACATGGTTATTGTGTTAGACAGTTTAGTGGCACCACACAGTTTATATATACATATATAAATGTGTGTGAATATTAGTCAATATATTTTGTAATTGGTTATTGGTACATAGGCTTTTCCATATATTACGATGTCGTTGAAATGAAAGCACCTATTAATAAGAAAAATTATATTATACCGTACAGCAGCAACTTTTAAAATATTAATTGAAAATCGTTCTTATAGGGTGACTAGTTTTGCTGCACATTTAAAAGCCAACAATGTTGGTTACCCCGGTAGAAACCTAATTTTGGAAACTCTATAATGATTTTGGTAAAACTTAGAAATTAATTATCAAAATTAATTCTTGGTTTACCGTTTAGGTATTAGCTTTGATTTTTGTAACAAAGCCCAAAGGGTCACAGGGTTGTTTACATAAAGTTACTGGCGCAATCACTTGTAACAAAACAATACGACGTATTAAAAATTTAAAAGCTTTTGTTGTGTGTTGCGTAGAAGTCTGTAATGTTATACAACAAGTCACTGATACTGTACCAGCTTTTTAGCCTTTTTATATTTTGCAGTTTTGTGTCAGAATACGTAAAAAGTTTTTTGTAGCTTCTTTAAAAAAATTAATTGAATTTTCTACAGCTGGTGTTAGTTTGGTTCATTTATACCATGGTAACAATCACTCATTCGTTATAAATAAAACAGCTTCAAAACTATTGCCAATTGCTTTGTATTAGCAATTGTTATATTATACTTTTTTGGGGGTTTACTTTGTCGAGCTGCAAGTATTCAGACCAAAATTTTAATCTAAATAAAACTTGATCGTAGTCCTTTTTTGTTTTGTTTGTTTGAAGTCAAATTTCTACTTTACAAAAAATGTATAAAATACGTTTTTTTAAGATTATGTATATTTTGTAGATATATCTCGCACTCCAAAACAGTGTATTCTTAGTCCTACCACATTAACAGTTGCTAGGTAACAGTGAACATCATAAACCTATTATTATTCCACAATCAGCTTCCAACAGACTAATCTCTAATGGCAGATCAATCTCACCTAGCCAGTCTGTAACATTACATGTAATATTTCATTTCATTAATTCATTTTTTTAGCATTAAGTTTCTTAAAATGTTAACTTCTGTTCATACACCTTTGTTATTAATCACTCCTCAGAAAGGCTGGCCTAGTATTCATTTTCATAATTTATAGAATTTCGTTAATCTGTTAAATTAATCATAAATATTATTCATTCCATAGCCTATATATATTTTTTTACAAAGCCCAAAACTTGTTTATTTATTAAATTTGTAAGAGAATTACAATACATCAAAATTTCTT